TTTACCTCTTTTTATTAAGCTTAGAGTCTCTACCAAGGACTCCTGTATTATTTTTTTCCAGTTTTATTGAGAGATAAGTGACCTATAACATTGTGTTAAGTTTAAGGTGTACAACATATTGATTTGATACATGTATAAATTTCAATATGATTACCACTACAGCATTAGCTAACACCTTCATCATGTCTCAAAATTCCTATTTCATTTTTGTGGTGATAACATTTAAGATTTACTCTCCTAGCAACTTTCAAGTATATAAAACAGTATCATTAGCTATAATCATGCTGTGTGTTAGATCCCCAAAACTTATTCATCTTCTAGCTGTAAGTTTGTACCTTTTGTCCAATGCCTTCCTATCTCCTCTACCTCTCAGGTCCTGATAGCCACCATTCTCCTGTTTCTACAAGTTTTACTTTTTTAGATTCCACATACAAGTGAAATAATACAGCATTTTCTTTCTCTAGCTGACTTATCTCACTTAGCATAATGCCGTCAAGGTCCATCTATGTCCTGTGGCAGGATTTCTTTCTTTCTCATGGCTGAATAATACTCCATTGTATGTATATGAAGCGCATCATCTTTATCCATTCATCTGTTGACAGACAGGTTGTTTCCATACCGTGGCTCTTGTGAATAATGCTGCAATAAACATACAAGTGCAGGTATCTCTTCCATATTCTGTTTTCATTGCCTTTGGATATTTACCTAGAAATGGGATTGCTGGATCACATGGTAATTCTATTTTAAATTTTCTGAGGAACTTCCATATTGTTTTCCATAGTGGTTCTACCACTTCACATTCCCACCAACAGTGCATACGAATTCCCTTTCCTCCACATGCTCACCAACAATTGTTTTCTCGTGTCTTCTTGATATTAATCTCTTATCAGACATATAGACAAGTGAGACTGCATCAAAATAAAAAGCTTCTGCATAGCAAAGGAAACACCAATAAAGTAAATAATAAAGAAGGTATACAAATGGCCATTAAATATATAAAAAAACACTCAACATCACTAGTCATCAGTGAAATGCACATCAAAACCACCACGTTATATTATCTCACAATCGTTAGGATGGCTAATACCAAAAAACAAATGACAGCAGGTATTAGGGAGGATGTGAAACAAAGGGAATCCTTTTACACTGTTAATGGGAATGCAGAATTGTGCAGCTGCTATGGAAAACAGTATGGAGGCTTCTCAAAAATTAAAAATAGAAATATGGTATGATTTAGTATTTCTACCTCTAAGTATTTATCCAAAAGAATGGAAAACAGGATCTTGAAGAGATATTAGCATTCTCATGTTCACTGTAGCCCTATTCATAATATCCAAGATATGGAAATAACCAAAATGACAATCAATGGTTGAATAGATTTAAAAATGGTTTATACACATACAACAGAATATCATCATCCTTATAAGAGGAGGAAATTCTGTAATATGCAACAATATGGATGAGGATATTATGCTGAGT